GGCCACCCTTTAGATTATTAAAAAATAAAAAATAAACAAAAGAAAGAAAGAAAGCGTGACATTTCGAAGTATATAATACCAAAATACTCATATATACCCAATAGATTTGATATTCTTCTATTTAATCTACCGTGTAAACCTTTGTGTTATCGAAAAATCAAACAAATTTCTCTGTGCAGGAATCCATCATCTTCCTATTCATTCTGGTATGAATGAAACTGGAATATATATATATATACGGAGGATATTTCCAATAAAATCGGTTATTTAAGATCTATACTTAAACATCTTTTTTTGTGGTGATTTAATGATGTATTTTGTGAAAAATAAGAGCGATTTTTACCACTCTCCAGTGTCAGGTTAACACACGAAATTATCTAAATGAAACTGTAGATAAGTGGCACGATACGAAACGAATGATGAATCGATACGTTCTACCTCCGAGGGGGCGAGAATTGTTTAATATAATCGAAACACTACTCTGAAAGCTCCTCTACTCGCACGGGGGATGAATCGTCACCCTCCCCCACACTTCCATCAAAAATAGTTGAAGGAAATGGTACGATACCACCCGCTTGCGTCACTTATCTTCTAACAAGAGATTGGGTGTAGCTATAACAGAGAAAATCCCTCCTCCCCTACAATTAATAATTTAATCAATATTCGAGTCGATTTATTGGAGTAATTTAGAAAGAAACAATAGAAAACGAAGTTTTGATCCTTCTCCCCACCCAAAAAACAAATTACACGTAATGGATTCAAAAGTCAGTTAACCGTGTTTAATTTAGTTATTTTGAGTACGAATCGTATAGTGTGTTTTTCCTTTATAAAATAAAACGGTTGTTTTAGATTTATAATGCGTAACTGATTTTTGGGCCACCCCGTATATTGCAGCACTCTCTCTACTAATACTAATACTAGGCATTACTACAAGCCGTACAGACATTACACCGACCCAAAAGTTAGTTAACTGTATCTAGTTTCAGTCAGACTCTACAGTGGTTAACTGAATTTTGGACCACCCCGCACGCTTATACATTTCAAGAGGTACGAAGACAAATTGATTCTTTAGTGCCGTATACAATCTTCATATAGAATACGAGTGTTAACAAACTGGTTTATTTATAAATGAAAGTAGACACTCGTGTTAAGTAAACATTGAACCGTCTTTTAAAAATAAATTTTAATAATGTGCGCATTGTACTCAATTGTAACTTTTATTTTCAATTATTTTTTCGTGTGCAGAAAGACGTCACAAATCTTGTTTCTAGTAATTTTATATTAATTAATTAGAAACCGTTAACCCAGTTTCTATAACTTGAGATATTTAATAAACGATTATGTCCATTTTGTTTTTTTTAGTGTTATTTATGTATTAAATTTATACTAATAGAATAGTTTAAAATAAATTGAATTGGTGTTTTTAAGTATATTAGCACAGAAATTTTAAAAGAAACTGTCCGTTACTTGTAAGAAAATGGCCCATTACTCTTTACAAAATGACACATTTCTCCCTAGAGAATGGCTCATTACACTTAAAAAACAACCCATTGCTCTTTAGAGAATGACCCATTACTGTTTACAAAACGACACATTTCTCCTTAGAGAATGGCTCATTACATTTAAAAACAACCCATTGCTCTTTAGAGAATGACCCATTACTCTTTACAAAACGATCCATTTCTCCCTAGAGAATGGCTCATTACACTTAAAAAACAACCCATTGCTCTTTAAAGAATGGCCCATTACTGTTAAAAAAACCAACCCATTACTCCCTCCGTAAACTGCCCATTACATAAAATAATATAAGAATTTTTAAATATTACATAGATGTAGAATTGATAAAGATACACATCAAAGAGAAAAATATACCAACGAAAAAACAAATGAATAATAATAATCTTATTTAATTAAACGAAAATTAGTAAAAAATAAACAAGATTTCTTAAATAACAACAGGTTTCCTTTATTTTTTTTTTAATAAGAGAATTCCTCTACTGCAGGTGGCTTGTCTTAATTTAAATTAATTAATGTCGATTAACAATAATGACTCCAAATCAAAAATGCCACTCCAATTAGATAATTATCACTCTTTCATCGGCATTTTCAAAAGAGTTTTAAGTGTTTACGTGAATATCTTTATCTATTTTTTACAAGTGAACTTATCGACTCACTTCACTAGCTCTGTACATAAACTGTACAGTCGAGTCGACTGTCCATTATGTACTAATTAATATTGTAGTAGCGGTTGTATAACTAAAGTACAGTAAAACCTGTGTAAACCGGAACAGTTTTATCAGGTTTCCGTTTTGGACGGGTTTTCCTGTATATATTACAGCCAGTCTATATCTTCTACTATACAGTAAAACCTGTCTAAAGCGGAAAAAGAAATTCTTCAGAAGTGAACGACTTTTTACAACCGGAAAAAAATACCACGCCATTCCGGTTTACACAGGTTTTTACTGTACGGGGTGGCCCAAAAGTCAGTTAAACGCTGTAAGAGTTAAAGTAGAACGTGTTTCTAAGTCAAAAAATTCATATTTACATCAATTATTCGCGGTTAACTGAGTTTTAGGCCACCCTTTCGTATAAATTGCAAGAATGCATTTCACAACAAGTAAAAAAGAGGTATATTTAATTTTGCCATCGTGCCACTCGTTTTGTATAAATTCCATTGTAGAAAATACATGTTTAAAGTCAAATTAAACTGTTAAGATTTCATTTAAAATAATACTTTATTATAATATTTGAGGAATTGATTAATTGTCGCCATTTTGAAAAAAAAAATTTTCCTTGTGATTTTTAGTGTGAGAGGCAAATGTTTAACCTTCGGCAATTCTTCATTTAAATTCTATTACTTTAGATATTTGAATAAATTCATACACTCTGGCATTTACAATAAAAGGTTCGTTTCAATTGTAAGCTTGTTGGGAGGGAAAAAAACAGGGAGAAAATAATTAAAAGTATTTCTTTTCACATTCCTCTGTCTGCTGTAAAATTTATTGTATGAATTTTAATAGTTGTTTAAGGGAGAAAAAAAAAAGAAAAAGGGGCGAGTAAAAATTAAAGTTTCCTGTAAATATGCAAATTATAAGCAGTTCACGAAGTGGCAAAAATTAAATAAATTCGTTGCAGATTTTTCAGGGAAAAATTCTCGTTTATTATAAATAACCCGCGGGTTATCTGTGTTTAAAACACTTCGAAAGGGTGGGTGTTGCATGCTGATTTTAAATTGAAATTACCAACTCACTCCTGTAGAGAAAAGACTATTCCCATAGGCGCGGGGAGGGATTTTATTTTCGTTTTAGTTACTTTATATACGTATACGCAGTCAAACCTCGATATAGCGACCTTCTAAATAGCGCTACCCCCGTAATATATGTTGAAGGATCTTAACCCGTAAGTACAAGAAAACCTATGCACCAAAATACAATAATTTTAAAAGAGGGGGGTGATGTCGAACGTTCGAAAACACGACAAAAATCTACTTCGATTTAGCGCCAATTCGGATGGCGTTAAACCGAAGAACCTCGAATAATGAAATAAAAAAAAAAAAGATCTTACATTTAGTAGAATTTTAAATAATTTTTGATAAAATTTGGATAAGGATTTCGATGAGTTTTTGGGAAAGAGTGCCAACTCCTGCTGTCGAGTGATGTAAGAGGAATAATGATAGGTCGAAGACAATTATTTATTTCGATTTATCTTTAACCAATTGTTTATCGTGGCGTATGTAACCGCTATTATCTTTCTCAGAAATTATTTGATAGAGCTTCTTCCTAGCCACAGTTGTTCTTTGATTGCAGTCGAAACACGATCGATTCGATTCTGTCGCAGTGTAAGAACCAAATGGCAATGTTTAATCCTCCGGGAATCTTTATATAATCACGCCATCCTCTCCCCTTTTCTACATTAGAAAAACAAAGATGTTGAATATTTTAACTGGATAAACATTATCCATTCCTCAGCGTACTAGTTTGAAGTGGCAAAATGTCAAAGATCCAACAACATCTTGCGTATAACCACGAATGATTGGTGTTGAGTGATGAGCTACACTCCCGTTGCGAGCAAAATAAAATAAAATTCGTGCCAATTTTTATGTAGAATTTTAACAATTTTATCGATTTTAAATGAAGATTTTGCACCGCTTGGACTCTGATTTATATTAAAATCCATCCAAATTATGGATTCATAAAACTTGTAGATTGCTCTTGGTTTAAACTGGATTTTTTTTTTCTCGTCGAGTGAGAGAGACTTTACTTTAGGCTAACATTGTCGATATAAATTATACTTTACGAGAGCATAAATTATTTAATTATTAAACTGAAGACGTGAGGGAATGTCGTGGCACTCGGCCAGCTTCAGAAATCTCACCGGAGAACGTTTCTTTCGTTTATAAAAATCGAACTTCTTCTCTTGACTGTTGCTTTTTTCGTGTCATTCGTTCGATAATTCGGTTGAATTTTATAATTTCAATTAACTGCAAAGCGTATTTAAGCGAGGGTATACTTAATGTAATTAAGTAATCGATTTGCAAATGCGGATAAAAAAAACACGCATTGATATCGATACGCGGTATCGATTATGCAATATCACTCAGTGTTTGTTCAGTGTGAGATATTCTCTTATGAAGTAAACCAACATGAACCTGGTATAAGTAGATTAAAGTAAAAAATTTCCTTAATTAATCCTGAAAATTCTATCTTGCATAGCTAGCTCTGGATATTGCGTAATGGTGTGCATCGTGCGTTAATTTTAGTGTGTTTAATGTAATAAAAATGCGTAAACGACGTTAAAATTCGCTGAAAATTTTTAAAAAATGAAGACTTTCATCCATCTTTTACATTGATTTTTATCAAAATTTATCCCACGTTTCGCTCAGTAATCTTCTTTGTCCATAGTTAGAAATTTTGTTAGTATTAAAGTATTTTCGATTTTTTTTTTAAATTTTGAAGAATTTGAATATAAATATCAATATATATAATTGTTTTTTCTTGCAGTATCCGAAACGGAATCCCTAATTGCAGCTTACAAGACAGCTTGTGCCAAACACGCAGTGAAACCCGTCTCCAGGATTCTTTATCAACTTCAAGTGAGTGTTGAATAAATAATGAATCTTTATCCATCTATTTAAAAGTATACAAGAGAAAAAGTTTGTTCTCAAAACAACGAACTTCTCTCTTCTAATAAAACATATTTTATCATAAAATTTTATTTATTTATTTATATTTCAACACGATAAGTAATGGTCTTTGGATCTCTTCCTCCACACAAATGGATTTAATGTATGGACTTATATAAATAAGCTATATATATATATATATTATGTTTATGTATTATACATAAGTGGCTCTTTTTATATCGTGCTATGTTCGGTTTAATGGATGGGTGACCCGTTTTAAGGGCATCTTTAAAGATGTACAGGAGAAGTAGTTAAATCCGAGTTATGACAGATGCTCTCAAGCTGTTTTATCGATTGCTTTGCTTACAACCTTTGACTTTTATCAACGATGGATAAGGGGAATTTAAAAGCGATGTCATAGAAAAATATCCCTGTAAACAAAGAATTGTAGTACTATATATACTTTTATAGCTCGAGAATCGAATTTCTCTTACTCTTCGTGCGTAGTAAACGGAGAGTACATTACTCCATTCAGGTAATAGGAGAATGAAATATTGTCGAAAACTAAAACAATTTTTTTGTGTTTTCACCCTTTTTTATACCTTTAAAATAAAATACTACCGTGTTTTCTTTATTAAAATTTACCTTAAATTCACTCGTAGACAATAAAAATCTTTCTTACAAAGGGTGTTTTCCTCTAAGGGATTCTGCGTGAAATAACAGTAATGGACTTTTTACATCACCTTCCTCTGCCGAAAAATCTCACAGGAGAAAGCTGTTTAGACTAAATGTTTTGTTTAAGTTGATTGATTGTTAACACGTTAATGTAATTTATCATTAGTCAGTTGTTTTTTTTTCTTTACAATATTATTGAATTATCTCCTTAATGATAAGGTCTGCACTAAATAACTCATTTATCTCTCGTATGAAAAAGTATCGACCTTTTACAAGCGATTTATTGATACTACAAGAAGGGTGGCCCAAAAGTCAGTTAAATGTCTTTATTCCTACACCTTAAATTGTCTAAAATAATGTATAAGTTACAACACTCTTTTCGGAAATTTAAGTGTAAAAAAAATCTAATGCGGTTAAGCGAGTTTTGGGCCACCTTTTTGCTGGTATATAAAAGCGCTGTTTGTAATTGTTTTTCTGTAATCATTTGCAACATTTCTACTGAAACTATTCAACCTGACAGAATTTGAGATAAATCACTTACATACAGATAATCCTGCTTAAATTAATTATAGGAGAATTACTGGATGTTCGAGTGCTGATAGAGGATGTGTGCTGAAAGATTTGCACTAGGATCGAGCCGGATATAAATAATTATAGTCGATAATGAGAGAACGATTCAATCTAGTGGAATTTATTAGATAAAAATATAGGAAATTAAAGGATAATTGATCGAAATCGCAGAAAATAATCCACTATTCCTTTATATTTAGCAGCAGAATCGATTGCTATCCACTCGTGTTACAGTAAAAGTGAAATGACATTTCGTATATACCAGCAGTTTTCAACTAGTGGTACACTAGGCAAGATGGAACCGCAGGTACTGTACATTACATACGATCAAAGTTCTGAAAAATAGATAATAGAAATGGCTGCAATAAAACTAGAGCACCTTTTATCAGTGGGGGCTCTTGCGCTAAATTCTATGGACTTTGAATCTCTCGAGGATACCACGTTCCATCAATTGGTGCATCAAAATAGTTCCTTGTTATAATGGAGAAACAGGAATCTGTTGCTCCATCTAAAAATCAACTGTTGCATCACGAAATGTCTGTTACAATATAAAAACAGAGACCTGTTGCACCCTGTTGCATTATGAAACTCCCGTTATAATGGATAAAGCGTGTTGTCAAAACGTCACCTCACAGCTTAGAATATATTTTAAGGGGGTACATCGTTTACAGTTAGTGTATGTATGAAAATATTGTCGGTTTAGCAATGGTTTTGTCATTAGACACTACCTAGAACGGAAGTTATGACGAGAATTAAACTAGGTTAAAGATACATTTTGACGTCGAGGATCGGGTGTCGACATCGCCAGACCTTATTTATTTATTCTAAACGACATTACATCAGTGTGACGTCTTATCTGTCTACCAAATAACTTCCGTTTGGTGTCCTCGGAGCAGGATTTAGAATTGTGGCCTTAAGCTATAACGTATAAGAGGCCCTTCCTTCCGCACTATATAATTTTTTTCCGTGATGGAGGCAGGCCCTAAGCTGTAGCTTACGAGTAAACCGAAAAATTACTCCAGGAATAAATAAATGAATAAAAAAATAATGAAATTTTGACGGGTAGAAACGTAATTTTTCACTCGAATTCTGTGATTATTTTAGAGTAATGAGATTAAAATATTCGCCTTTTTTCGCTTTGTTTTTCACTAATTAAGTTTGATAAATATGCAAATTAAGTTCATTAAATATTAAAAAATTCCCAAATAATTTATTTAATTTTTCATATTTCGGCTTATAATTTAATAATTTGGCTTATTTAAAATTTAAATAAATCAGATTATTATGAAAACAGGATTAAAAGTAAACTAAATTAACTCTACAAATTTTGATTACGTTCTATTTTTTTAGGGGGGGCCCGATTCATCGATCAATACACAGAGTGACCCACAAGTTAGTTAACCTTGTGTTTATAGGCCCACTGTATGTGTGAATATGAATTTTTGAACTGAGTTTATAATAAAGTACAGTATATACTGACACAGGTGATTTGAAAAGTAAGAGAGAAATTTAGGTGTTACTGCGGTTGACTGACTTTTGGGCCTCACTACAAGTTAATACACAGTACGCTAATATTAATACTATCTGTAGCGTAGGATATACTACAAGCATGTGAGCCCAAAAGTCAGTAAACCGTATTTTATTTTTTTTGTAAATGCAATATACAAACGGTTAACTGAATTTTGGGCCTATGCTATATGTATATCACGATATAGCATAAGCAATACGACAAATAATATAGACCCGAAAGTCAGTTAACTGCGCCGTGTTTCGCGTGTTTCATGCACATTTGTGAATACGAAACGTAAGCAGCTTGCTTTTCTCCCTACTAAAACGAATATATAGTAAAAACCTGTCTAAAACGGACGAGGTTTACGATGTTAACTAACTTTTGGGCCACCCTATACCGCGGAAAGCATCGGCAACGGAAGAAAAAAACCTCTCATACAGGATTTTCTTTTTATGATCGATTTTCGTATTTAACCTTTGATGACATTTAGGATTATTGATTTTAAGGAATATCCTTTAATCACGTAACGAATCTAAGTTATTCATTTTATTATTTATATACACATTTATATACAGTCGACCCCCCTATAACACTGTTGATTATTCCGTTTTATATGAATTCCATGTTGTACGTGTCGCTTAGATTTTACAAATACGTGTGCCTGGCTCTGAACGGCTCACGTATTTGTAAAATCTAAGTGACTCGTACAACATGGAATTCATATAAAACGGAATAATCAACAGTGTTATGGGGGGTCGACTGTATTTTACTATTCGATTCGAATGAATATATTTATCTAAAATTAAGTCTTATTAATTATTAAACGGCCAGATTAAACGTAAACATTTTGTATTCTTTCAAGAATATTTATTGAATAAATTTCAAATTCTGCTTATTATTATTATAAAAATGACAGTTTATGCTTTATATATTCAGTGAAACCTGTACAAAACGGATACAGGAAAAATTCTTCAGAACCGAGCGATTTTCTATATTGAAAAAACAAAAAAAAACCTGTTTAAAACGGAAAAATATTTGTTTTTTCGTATATATTTTCCTTTTTTTTAGTATATTTTCTGCAATATTTGCAGTTTATTACCATCCGGAAACACAATACTTGAAACAAATGTAATTGCAATTTTAACGATCTCCGTCGGTTACCTAAAGGCACAACTTTAACTAGAAAATATCAAACACAATCATTTTCCAGTTAGAAAGCTTCGTATACAGTAAAACCTGTGTAAGCCGGACCAAATATATTTTCCTGTTTGAACAGGTCTAACTGTAATGATTTTTTTCCCTTAATTTTTTCCTTAATAAGGTTACAAAGATTTAGATTTTTTCTTAAAATGTCAATGGTTCTATTAAAAATTAATTTTGCTCGGTTGGTGTTTTATACACGAGTAAATAAAACCGTTGAAAATTTCGAAACCGCATTAAACCATCCGTAAAATAAATATAACTGGTGTTAAACCTTTCATCACTCGGTATATTAAATGTCGAAAAATAAAGTTCATCCGTCGTAAGAATGGCTTCGACTGGAAGTTAACCTTGAAAAACCCTTTTCTAGCGTATCCGATCTTTAGAACAATGACACCTCGATGACGTCAAACGATAGAGCAATTTGTGTAATCTCGCTAGAAGTCATTTTTCTTCGTAGATTCCATCTTAATTCGAATATATTTACATTATATTATCGTGCTGTATATTTACATGATTATAATACAGTGGGTGTGACTGTTATTTATCTTCGTTCCTCTTCCTTGGTACTTGCTAGTGGTGATTTTTCGATCCGTGTACCCAGAATTATTATCGATTTTCACGTGTCTTTGTACTTTTCAATGATGGTGTGTCGGTTACAATAGATGATTTCGCCTGTTTTTTTTTTTTAAGTTAAAGGTGATTTGTAAATGGTCACGTTTTCGGTTATTTTCGGGAATATTTTATTTTTAACTCGTAAATTTCGCTGTTTTCTTGCAATAAAATCGATTGTCTCTTGCTGTTTTCATCGTTAGTTCGTAAGGATAATTACCAAGCATTAAAAATTTTTGTTTCTCCATATTTGAAGTTTTATAGGGAATTTTTATATTTTTAGAGGATTTTTTAAGTGTGTAATTCTTCTAAAAATAACAAAAAAATTCCCCGCGACATCGGCACGTGTCTTGCTTTGTTCCCTCTTGTGTTATGGGGACACGTAAATTATTAATACTGAAGG